GCAGTGAGCAGGTGGAGGCTGCCCAAGAAGCTGGAGAGAGACACAGCTGGAACAGCTGACTCCAACTGACCAAAGGCATATCCCATACCAAATGGTGTCACACTCAGCATTTAAATCTAGGGGAAGAAGGAACCTGATTATAAAATTGGACAGATCACATAACTGAAAAATATGCAAATAAAAATCTTGTGATGATGTTCAAACAACAGAGGTATGTGAGAAAGAGGTAATGGGATTAACATTCCCGTGCACTTTAAAACTTTGGTCACTGAAGATGATATGATTTGCATTAATCTCTAGCTTAAAGAGCACTGTGTGCAAACAATTATATTAGTTAGAAACACTATGCTATTCCTAACTGCTATGCAAATTTTAAATTCTGGTATGTATATTTGAGTTAGCATCCAGAAAACCCAATTTTCTTTTTGAAACTTGACACAGAGACAACAAAAGAAGAACAAACAGAAGCACAGTACTTGCCAAACTTTATTTGTAGCCAGCTTCTTGTTCCTTATGTATCTGAATTAGCTTCTTTCTCCTTTTTAATTCCATTTCACTTCTCTGTCCCTTCTAAAGAAGACTAAAATTGTTCTGGGATATGCTTTCTTTTCAGAAATTCAAGATAAAGAGGAAAATAAATGTTTCCTCATTACATCTGCAAAAGCTGATTTTAATTTTGGGTTAGACCATTACAGCTTTCCATGAAGCTCCAGTTTCAGTTAGGATTTGTTTTTCACTTCACCTGAAAAGAAGTGTGGTTTACAAAACAGCCTTCTTTCACAGTTGGAGAAAAAAAATAACATCTTCAAACAGCAGCAGCAACTACCAGACCAGAGAATTGTAGAATAATGAGGTTGGAAGTGACCACTGGCAGTTGCCAGTCCAACCTAACCTCTTCTCAAAGTGATATCAATATGAGATCACACCAAGTTGCTCATGACTTTATCATGTTAGACACTGGAAATCTCCAAGGATGGAGATGGTAAAACCTCTCTGGCAACCTTTTTCAGCCATGGACAGCCCCTGTGGAAGAAGTTTTCCCTTGTAACCTGTCTGAAATGCTCTTGTTTCAATTCAAGTCAGTTGTTTCTCACCCTGTTGTCATGGAGCACTGTGAAGAGGTCGCCTTTCCTGACAAGCTCTGCACAGACTCTGTTAGGCTGCCATTAGGTCTCCCTGGAGCCAACAAAGAAAGGAATACTTTTTCTTTCCCAGGCTGTACAAGAGCAGTTCCCTTGGTCTCTCTTTACATTGCAAATGCTATGGCTTCCTGACTGTACCAGTTGCCCTCTGTCAAACTTTCTCCAATTTATAGATGTCTTATTTTTAATGGGGACCTAAAACAGGATGCAGTATTCTAGATACCAAGAATATTTCGTCTGGAGAAAATAGAAAGGGGATTTTACTTTTTCCCTGAAGGTCGCCACTTGTTTCCCTCCTTTAGGAATGCCTGTGTGTACTTACTACACACATACAGATATTCTGGACCTAAGTATCTCTCCACTGATTTTGTATGATAATATGATACCTTGCTTTTCCTGGATTATACTAATGTTAGTGAAAGCTAGATTGGTATAAAAATGCACATTTTAATGTCACTGCTTACACTGGATGCATGTTTTGTATGCATCCAAAATAGTTAATATACACACACAGACATTATTTTTGTGACCAAATCCTTGAAATCTTATTGTGTGTTAAGTCACAAGTACAAGTGAGGTAGGTATCACTTGTACACTTTAATGTGAACCTCTAGGTTTTTTTGTTTTCTTTTTTTGTTGTTTGGTTTTTGTTTTTGTTTTTTCTTTGCTTATTTGTTTTTTCTTTCCTTAAATTTGCCTCTTCTAAATCAAAGAATGATGTAGTGTTGTAGGTCTGGCCAGCACAGGGTAAGTTTCTGCAGTAGCCAGGAGGGAGCATGGCTACAACCCAGAGGATATTCTATACCACCTTATGACATTTTCCAGTGTGGGGGAGAAGGGAGTATTTTCTGGGGGGAAGGGGCTCCTTCCTATTGGGATAGCGTGGCAGTGGTTGGGTTGGGGTGAGAATTGTGCATGTAAATCACTCGCTCTCTTTTGTATGTCTTTTTATTAATATTATAGCTGTTACTTTTTTGTCTCATTGCTGTTTCTAGTAAATTATTCTTATCTCAACTCCTGATCTTCACCTTTTGTGTCTCCAATTCTCTTTTCCTGTTGCAGAGGAAGCAGGAGGGAGAAGGGGGAATGAGCGAATGGTTTGGAGAGTCTCAGTAGGACCACTCAATTGGGGAGTACCATTCCTGAAGCATGACTCAGAAATCTCAGTTAAAAAAAGGAGAAAAAACATGAAGCAGGAAAAATGTTTTTTTGTAAGACCAGGGAAGATCTAAGAGCAAAAGGAGAATTCACCAAATGAGCCAAAATTCTTAAGCCCCTGCCATGCTGGGGCTTAAGACAGAAAGTGTAAGAATCTGTCGAAGACACGAGAGAACAGTAGGTGAAGGGAATGTGCACCTGGCATTGTCACATTGCAGTTTTACAGTTCTCATGAAGATTGGAGCATGTGTGGAAGCCTATATTTTGCTCACTGAGGAATTATGCAATCCAAAAAGAGAAGTAACTCCAGGGAATGCAGTCTTGAACAGCAAATCATACAGCTAACTCGCTTGATTCAAAGCTGCAAACTTCCACCTCAGTTCAAAACAGACTGTCTGAAACCACTCCCAATGCTTATTCTGGACTGCCATACTATGGCAAGCACTATGAGGAAATAAAAAGACCCAGCAGACATCCAAACATGTGTCCCTTCCACATACAAAACAGAGTGCAAATTTTCATTCATTTGGGATGGCTTGGGAAATGCACTGTCTACCTTGTCATTCATAATTACTGTGGCCATCCCACCCTTGGCCTGGTACAGTTCCCAAAGCTTTATGAACATGGGACATATATTCTTTTCTGTCTCATTTGGCATGTGTTTAAAATACTGTCACACTGCTGGATGCAAGGGCAGCAAACCTTCATGTAACTTAAAGGTAACTGTAACCTAAATGTCAAGAAGCTAATAAGAATCCTCATAATGGTGCAATTAATTTCTAATCAAGTCAAAAGACAGGGCTGAGAGGCTGCTGCATATGCACTTATAGGAGTCCTTGTTGCCTTTCACAATGCTTGCAAGTTCAGGTGGCCTCTGGCTTTTCAATGCATGTCTTTGTATGCTTAAGACAGTGTTTAAGAGAGGTTGTGGAATCTCCATCCTTAAAGACATTCAAAACCTCTCTGGACATGGACCTGGGCAACCAGGTCTCAGTGGCCCTGCGTGAGCAGAGTTGGACAAGAAGACCTCCAGAGGTCCCTGCCAACCTCAATCAGTCACTCTGTGGGTGCACTTTGGAACATATTAGCCTCTAGAACAGTGAGGTAGGTAGGAGATAAAATCTTCTATTTTAGATATTATAACTTATACAAATCAGTAGTGATACAATAGTTCTTGCCTCAGGGGATAATCAGGTGAGCATTCCCACACCTTTGGGATAGATTTTGCAAATGCTGTCAGCCAATTTACAGTGAAATTTTGACTGTTCAAATTAAGAACTGTAAGTTAATAACACAGTACATTCTAATGCCAATTCCTGCAAGTCATTATTGTTAATTTTCCTGGGATCTAAAGCATTTACACAAGTAAATGGCTGTTGCTGCCTACTATACTTGTTAAACATTGTATGTTAGTGCAAACTTGATAGGCTATACCAAAAATGTAACTCAAAAATCAGTGAAAAGTCTCCTACAATGTGCATAGACCAACACAAGCAAATTCTTAATTTCTAAAATATCAATTTAAAAAATGCATTTCAGTTTTTAAATTATTTAAAAAACCACCAAACCCCGAGTAATAAGGGCACCATAATAAATTATTTCTAGCTTGGTAAATCATACCATAATTTGTGCACACACTAAATGCTGACCAAATTAATCAAATGCAATAATCACAAATTGCTTGGGGTTTCTATTCACTATTAACAGGCTTTAAATAAATGCCTATGAGATTTAGAAACAAAAGTTGTTTTTGAAACTTCCCTCCAAGGTTTTAATAAACTTAATGAGAAGGGGAAGCTTGAAAAACCTCTAGAAACCTGAGTATTTTTTACTTTTGAATGCTGAAACACTGAAAACATACAGAGTTCTGCTATTGCAAATGCTTTTTAGACATAAATAACTAGTCCTCTTTATTTCCAATGAGTATAGTATTCACACTATATTTATTATTTACCTCTGTAGCCCACATCCCTCATCACAGACATTCAGCCTTCAGATTCACAATTTTCAGCTGTGTTGATGCCAATTCTCCTGCCTTTAACCTGCTGGCAGCTCTGTATCCCCTCTCACACAGGAGGTCAGGATGAAATGAGAGCTGTAACCCAACATCACTCCATAAAACAACCTAACTCCTTCACTAGACCACACAGAGCTTTTCCTTAGGGACTAAAACCCACTGATCCATGCAAATGTTCAGTGCAGCTCACCTAAATTAATGAGAATGGGTATTTCTCTCATTCTCCATACTGCTACAGAACATAAGGAATTAAAAGGCACATATATTAGGGTTGAAGAAGACACCAGTATTTCAGAATTACAGATTTATTATTTTAAAATCTATATTGACTAAATTAGGTATGTGCAAACAATCAGGCAAGAAACAAGCATTTATATAATCTGGTTATTTTGTCCACGTGTTTTTAAGTGATCACATTGCCATAGCACAGCTTTTTGGTGCAAATATCAACCACCAACTTTTCACTTCCTTTAGAAGAAACTAATACAAAATTCAGGCTATAAGAAAGGGACTCCTATTTCAAAGAGATGGTTGGTGAGCAGTAAAGCAGAATTGATTCATTGATGTATTCACATTTTTCCAACAAATACCTATTTGATAAGGCCACTTCCTCACTCAGACAGACATTGTACAGAAAATTTCCCCTATGAGTCACTCATTTGTATTAGAATCAATCATTTTACCTGTAATAAACACGCAATGTTTGGATTTCTTCTTCTAGTTTTTTGCACTGTTGAAGAGCACCTTCCTTTTCTTGTTGCAAAGCTATCAATTCTGCCTGTGAAATGATAAACAACCAATAACCAATTTGTTCAGAATATCCATCCTTTTTTGAAAACATCTCAATCTGTGCAATCATTTCAACTATTACATGCACACATAGAGTTATACTTTGTAACATAGTGGTGTGGCTTTAAGTACCATGCAGATGTTTGGTTACTTCTCCTTCCTCCCACTGATGGCATGGTGAGGAGAATCAAGAAAGGAAAGAAAAGAAAATGAAACTTGTTGATTGAGATAAGAACAGTTAAATAATTGAAACAAAGTAAAAGATAATAATAATGATGATATTAATACGAGTAATTGTAATAAAAAGGAGAGGGACAGAGTGAGATAAATCCCAAAACAGGCAAGTGATGCACAATACAACTGTTCACCACCTGCTGACTAATGCCAAGCCTATCCCCAAGCAGTGATCACACCCTTTCCTGGTAACTCCCCCCATTTTATATAGTGGGCGTGATGTTTTATCACACAGAATGTCCCTTTGGCCACTTTGGTCAGTTTTCCTGACCATGCTCCGTCCCAGCTTCTTGTGTACCTCCTCACTGCCAGTGCAGGACACATTGAAAGTCCTTGATTTGGGACAAGCACCACTTAGCAACATCTGAAACATCAATTAGCAACATTATTTGCATACTGACTCTAAAACACAGCACTGTACCAGCTACCAGGAAGCAAATGAGCATTACACCAGTCTATTTAATGATGAAATATTCTTTCTTTTTTCTAGAATTGATTTTTCTTTTCCCTAGCAGAATCATGTTTTGAATGGCTTCTCCCATGTAAGTTCTTGAATACCTAAGGTTAGAACTCTTCACTTCAGCCAAGTGGCTATCAGCAAATGTATTTTATATGATAAATTGTTGATCGACATATAGAAAGTGAAGCAAGGCCCTTGGCCATGAACTACTGATGCATGACTCTGTTCTGCACATGGCTCCCTGGCTGTTAAGGGCAGCTCCCATGGTAGCAGTCCCTGGCTGATGTTAGGAGCAGAAGAGCTGCTGGAAAACCAGGACCCTGAGCAGTGGCAGGCAATGAGCCAGCAGGGACTGCAGAGACTGGCACCGACAGCACATGCTGAGATCTGGTTTATAGAGGGGTGAGGAATCCTTGAGCAATCACCATCGTCTCCCATCTGTGAACCCCACGGGACACTCCCCCTCCCATCCTTGATTCACACTGAAGGGAGTGTGACTCATGATCATAATGGAAATTGCAGCATGTGGCTTGTAAGTCAGGAAGGTAGCCAGCCCTAACAGGCCTTACAGTTAAAGAGGAGGCAGGGAGAAATAAGTATTCTTGCACATTTAATATGGGTCTATAGCTTAATCACCATTAATTTTAAAAGTCCAGTTTCAATAGCACCGTAGGACTGGCTGGAGGGCCCAGGTACCATATAAATATATCAGTGGGTGATTTATTGTTGCAACAACAAATAAGATAGGGCTTCCACAGCAATTCCTTGACACATGAGCCTGAGCATTGGGCTGTTTTCCAATGTTTTTAATTCATGGTGTAAGTTATTAATTGTACAAATTGTAGGGCCCTTAACCAAGAGGCACATATGTGAGAAATGCCAACTGTAGATTCTGCCAACTCTTCAGGACAGTGTTGCGGAAAAGTTTCTTGGCAAATTAAAGACCTGTTATATGAGCTACAAACCCATGAAGGGAAATGCACATAGTTCAGCCTCTAAGTCTGCCAAACTCCCTGTATAATCATGAACAACTCTGCCTGTATGTCTCAAAATCTCTCTCCTAAAACAGGGCTCCCACTTGCTTCTGTTTCCTGTTTGTCTCTTAAGACTGTAAGTTTTCAAGGCAGGTGTTTTACTGTTTACTGTCAACTCCCAGTCATCTATGGGCAATTCATTCTGCTGGTTAATTAATCATGTCCTGGATACTTGGCTGATTCCTGGCAAATTTTATTGAATACTGCATTGCACAAATGCAGCTACACAAGCAGTCTCTGAACCGTGCTGCTCGGTGGGTCATGTTGCACCCAGGGTTTTGCACTGCCCAGGTACAGGACCCACTGCTGTAATTACTCCTGTGAGAGACATCCATAAAATTTTAACAGGAAGTTCCCTGGTGAATAAAAACTTTCTTACTATATGGGGGGCGTTCCTTCAGCTTTAAAAGCAGAAAGCGTTAATGTTTAACATCTGAGTGACAGTGGTTTTGAGCTTCTGATACTGAAAACAATGCACTGCATGCTGGCAAGCCCTAACTTCTGTCAGAAAGAGGTTAAAACCCTCTGCAGGTGAGCCTCTTGCCTGGTGTAGCTTGCTGCCTTGCAAGCAGAACCCACAGAACACAAGATGTTAGCCAAACCAAGCTATTTTCTGTAATTATACTGTTCTGTAGGTGAAACAACATTCTTAAAAATTGGAAAACAGAGTTGAATCAAAGTAGGTGGTTTGTTCTAGAGGCCAGTAATTAACATCCTTGCCAATTTTCAGTGTACTGTGAAGTGTGATTGAAATGGTAGACTGGAAGGAAATGTTTGCAGCTGACACACCTACTCAGAGAGATTAACGGCTAGTCTCTTTGGAGAACTATCATAAAAAATACACCTAATGTTCCACTTGCAGTTCAGGACAAGAGTCAGAGGCACTAGAGTCTTAAGACTATTATTTATGCCAGTTTTTCATCAGGCAAAACTGAACTGATTTGACTGGGTTTGCATCTGGGTTTGTACCAATAAAAATATCAGCAGAATCAGGTTCTTTGGATTAAAAAAAAAACCAAAAAACAAAACAACAAACTCAAGAGCTACAAAAAAGTGAAGGGAAGAAAAATAGTAATTTGTTAGCCTCCTCAGTAACTTCTAGTGGAGTTGATACTGGGAAGCTTCATGAGACCAACAAAAATCCAAGCACAAGAGTCTCTGTGCACAGCATGCAGCCATTCAACAAAATGACCCATTGTTCACAGGCCTGAAGGGTGGTAAACACAAATAAAGGAGTCAAATATCCTCCCAAGGCAGAGATGTCTTCCTTCCCTAGAAGGAAAGCAAAACAGTGCTCATCACAAATTTAAATTGCTAACTAAAATAATGGCATCTACTCTACTATAAAGAATTTGGAAGACTCCTAAATGTATATTGAAATCCATCCATAGTGCATATGGCAGAAATCCTGCATGAGCTCACCTCTAGTAATAACAATAGCTGCTTGAGAACTTTTTAACAAAATACTGTTCTTTTGGAGAATGTCAAGCTGTGGAAATGAGAACTTTTCACAGAAATTGTTTTGTTTTGATTAAATTGTTTTGGAAGGTAGGGTAAAGAAGAAGCAAGAAGAAGAATTACACGCAGGTTCCTCTAGTGGTGGTATCTCATAAAAAGGTCACTTTACAGGTGAGCTTGGTCACCTTTTGATATAGGTATCACTCTCAGCAAAGCTCCTTTTCAACACTGAAAGGATATTCTGATCACTTGTGAAAAATATTTCTGAACATTTTGTTTTGTCCAGAAGTTCCTGCACTTTCATATTTGGTTTAATGTGGATAGATCCTTTCCCATTCTCTTTCCCCCTATCCACCTTCCTGCAAAGGGAAATTGTTGTTTCTTTATTTTCCATTTTAGCAGTTATTTGGTGAAAATTTAAACTTTCCAAGTAAATATAAAATCTAATTGCTACCTATCAAACTTAAAATAGCTGATCTCAACTAGACAGAATCTCAGTATTGATCTCTTTGCTGTTGCTTTTGCTTCAAAACATTTAAAGGAACAATGTCACAATATGTTTTCTTACCACAAAGTTTGGAAAAATACAAGACATAAGCAAAGGAAAACAGAGGGTAAAACTAGTTTTTATCTTTTTCTAATTCCATGAGCACCCTCAACTCTAATCTAAATTAAAAGAGGTAAGAACACACAGCCTCCTACTCTGTCACGTTCTCTCTGGAACCTCACCTTTGTGTGAGAGATGGCTTTTGTAAGACTTTTCAATATCCAGTAGAAAGGAAAAAAAAATCCAATTAACTTGACTAATAAAGTTTCATAGCTTTATTTTTAATTGATTTATTTTCTTATACCTTTATAGACAACGTATATATTCATATATATGTTGTATATATTCATATATACATTCACATATATATTCATTGTATATATTCATATATAAATATATATATTTACAATAAACATTTATTTTTTCATTTCTGAGATAGGCTAAACAACCTTTTCTGTTACTGCTCACTAAGCAGGCTCTTCATTACCCCAACAAATTTAAATGCATCTCTCCTCAGTACTCTGTACTCCTGCCAGTGGAAACCTCTTACCTGACACATTCTTGTACTCTTTTTGCTCTCAGTCACCCTCCAGCCTGTTCTCCTGCATATTGGTATTACCCAGTTGACAGTGGAAACTCTTATTCATCCTGAAAAGATAATACCTTACACTTGGCACCAAAATTCCACCCCACTGCTTTTGTTTTTTCATTACTTGAGGCCATCCCAGTCTTTCTGCAAGACAGCCTGAACCTGCTTTGTATTAATAATAACTCCATGCCTTATTAAAAACAACTCCCAGCTCTGTATCATCAAGCAATTTTGTTAGCACACTGCTGCTCTTCATGCCAAAGGTTCTCAATGACAGCATTAAAGAAAACTGGTTCAGCACCAGCTGGTAAGAAATTGGAGAGAAATTCCACTAGTGAAATCCTTGGACCTTAACATTTCTTCCTTCAAAGCTGTTTGCTGCTGCCTTCCTGCTAACTAGTTCCTTATTGCCTTTGACTAATCCCTCATCTCCTTCATGGGTACATGACATTTTGCAGACAGACATGAGCTAAACGTGCCCATTCTTCCAGACAAGAGACGCTGGGTGACCCAGCAAGCAGCAAGCAGCATTTCCCACATTAAGCTTGTGCCTGCTTGTAAAATAACAATATACGCATTCCCCACTGTAATTAATAATTTTTCATTATGGCACAACCTATAAGCTTATGTGTCAGGTTATATTAAAAAAGTTTCCTTGTCTAAATAA